CCATTACTATCATATTGTGGGTTTGTTCATCAATCTTGAGATCAAGATTGAAGGGAATTCTGCATAGGGTGTGAGATGAATTTCCAACATCTGGTATCTAGAGCTCCGATTGAGAGATTCAAGGAAGGAAGATAGTGATGACGATGAACTATCTGAACGACAATTTTCCGGCGACCCTGCCAATTCTCAAGAAAGATAATTATGAGAATTGGTGCAAGCAGATTAAGGTGATTTTCTGTTATCAAGATCTTTGGGATCTTGTGAAGGACGGAGTAACATCGCTTGGGAAGAACGCAACGAAGGCGGAAAAGGCTGCGCACAAAGAATTGAAGATGAAGGATTATAAATCACTCTTTATAATTCAATAGTGTGTTGATCCTGATAACTTTGAAAAGGTTAGTGATGTTGATTCGGCAAAAGAAGCATGGGAGATTCTTGAAAAGTCATTTGGAGGCACAAAGAAGGTGAAAGAGGTGAGGTTACAAACTCAAAATAGAACCTATGAGTTGCTTCAGATGGAAGACAACAAAAGCATTACATATTTCTTCACCAGAGTTACAAAGTTGGTGAATCAAATCAAAGTATGTGGAGAAGCGCTGACGACGAAAGAAGTTGTCTCAAAGATTTTGGGATCGTTGGCTCCAAAATTCGACCACGTGGTAGTTGCCATAGAAGAGTCGAAAGATCTATCAGTGTTGACGAAGGAAGAGCTTCAAGGGACTCTTGAGTCTCATGAAAAGAGGATGACTGAGAGAGCTGCAGGAAAGTCGAAAGATATGGCTTTGCAGGCGCAGTCAGAAAAGGAAAGATAAGGCAAAGGTAGCTGGAATGGCAATAAAGGAGGAAACCAGTCGAATCGGAAGAAACCTTGGAACTAAGGCAACCAAAGAGGTGGTGCTGCAGGTAAAGGAAGAGGTGGTGGTCGAAAGACAGACAAAAGCCACATTCAATGTTTCAATTGCCAGAAGTATGGTCATTATGTTAGTGATTGTCCAGAAAGGAAGAGAAATCAAGAGATTTATGCAAAGCTGGCGAAACATGAAGAAGAAGAAACGTTGCTAATGGTTACAACAAAATATGAAGAAAGACTCCAAGATCAGTGGTACTTAGACTCAGGATGCTCATCACACATGACTAGAAGGAAAGATTGGTTTGCCAACATGAAGCCCTCGTCGAAGAATACAGTGAAGTTTGCAAATGACAACACTCTAGCAGCTGAAGGTGTTGGTGATGTTTTGATTATGAGAGATGGCAAAAGGTCAACAATTTCCAATGTGTTGTATATATCAGGCATGAAGCGTAATTTGCTCAGTATAGGGCAGCTTTTCGAAAAAAACTACAAGGTAGTTGTCGAAGACAAGATGATGAGAGTTCTGGACGCATGTGGTAGATTAATCTTGAATGCTCCAATATCTCAGAATAGGACCTTCAAGATTGAACTCAATGTGATGGAGCACAAGCGTCTAGCAACTACAACCAGTAGAGATGAGTGGTTATGGAATTTTCGACTAGGTCATCTCAACTTTAATGACATCAGAGAACTGAAGAGAAGAAATATGGTTTTAGGATTATCAAAAATCGACATTCCAAGTGAAGTCTGTGAGGAGTGTGTTTAGTCGAAACAACACAAGAATAGCTTCAGCAAGGATGCAGGAAGGAAGTCGAAGGCAATACTTGAAGTCATATACTTTGATGTATGTGGTCCAATCCAGGTGGATTCGATTGGTGGAAATAGATACTTTGTCACGTTTATAGATGATTACAGTCAAAAGTTATGGACTTACCTCATCAAGAAGAAAAGTGATGCGATTGAGGTATTTTCCAGATTCAAGTCCATGGTCGAAAGACAGAGTGGTCGAAATCTGAAAATTATAAGGACTGATGGTGGTGGAGAGTATGTGTCGAAAGAGTTCAATACACTATGTGTAAAAGAAGGGAGTGTGCATAAGGTGGTGCCACCCTACACTCCACAACAAAATGAGATTGCAAAACGCAAGAACAGAACCATCATGAATATGGTGAGAAGTATGTTGAATGGAAAGCATCTACCCAAAGAATTATGGGGAGATGCAGTTTTGACAGCAACATATATATTGAACAGATGTCCGGCGAAGAAGCTTGAAGGAATCACACCAGACAAATGTTGGTCTGGTGTCAAGCCTAGTCTCAGTCACTTAAAGGTGTTTGGATCTATAGCAAATAGACATGTGCCAGATCAGTTGAGAAGAAAGCTTGATGATAAGTCGAATCAGATGATCTTGATAGGATATCATTCGACAGGAGGTTACAAGCTGTTTGACCCAGTGAATAAGCAGGTAGTGATCAGCAGGGACATGATCATAAATGAGCTTAAAGAATGGGATTGGACTGAGAATGCCAAGAAGGACTCAGTGAGAATCTCTTGTGAAGAACCAGCCACTGAAGTCGAAATAGAAGTTCGACAGGAACCAGTTGCAGATGAAGCAGGTTCAAGCAGACCTCGACGAACAAGACACATGCCTGCAAGGTTGCAAGAATGTGTAATTACATCATATGATGTAGTCGATGAAGAGGGTAAGCTGGTACATTATGCTTTCTACAAATATGTCGAACCAGTCAATACAGCTGAGGCATTGAAAGATTCGAAGTGGGTGAAAGCAATTACTGAAGAGTTGGAGTCCATCGAAGTCAATGATACCTGGTCACTTGTCGAATTTCCACAAGGCAAGAAGGCAATTGATGTGAATTGGGTTTACAAGGTGAAGGTAAATCCTAAAGCAGAAGTATTTCGACACAACGTGAGACTTGTGGCGAAAGGATTTCTTCAGAAGGAACGAATCGACTTCGATGAAGTATTTGCACCTGTTGCTAGAATCGAAACAATCAAGTTGGTTGTTGGTCTAGCAAATATGAACAACTGGCACACATGTCAGATGGACGTGAAGTGTGCATTCCTTAATGTCCCCTTAGACGAAGAATTTTATGTTGCACAACCAGCTGGGTTTGTGAAACAAGGCGAAGAAAGAAAGGTGTACAGGCTTCATAAAGTCTTGTATGGACTTAAGCAAGCTCCAAGATCTTGGAATAAGAAAATCGGCAACTTCTTAAGGGAGAAGGAATTTGTGAAGTGTACAGCTGAGCATGGAGTATATGTAAGAAGAAGCAATGGCGAATTGCTTATAATATGTCTCTATGTTGATGATTTGTTGATAACAGGGAGTTGCAAGAAGGAGATAGAAGATTTCAAACATGACTTGAGTAAGGAGTTTGAAATGTCAGACTTGGGAAATCTCTCATATTTCCTTGGCCTCGAATTCTACAAGACAAGTAGAGGTTTGATGATGCACCAAAGAAGATATACAGAGGAAATACTCAAGAGATTTGAGATGCAAGATTGCAACCAAACTTCGACTCCAGCTGAGCCCAGATTGCAACTGTCGAAGGATTCAGATGAAGATGATGTCGACCCAACCCAATATAGAAGACTTATTGGGTCACTTAGATACCTTTGTCACACAAGGCCTGGCTTAGCATACATTGTTGGTATGGTAAGTAAATTCATGCCGAAGCCAAAGGTATCACACCTAGCAGCGGCGAAGAGGATACTGAGGTATCTGAAAGGAACTCTCGACTATAGCATTTTGTTTCCAGCAGCAGATGAAGGAAAAGAATGCAAGTTAGTGGGATGCACAAACTCTAGTTGGTGTAGTGATGCTGAGGATCGAAAATCCACAGCTGGGTATGTGTTTACGTTAGGTGGTGCACCAGTTGCTTGGAATTCGAGAAAGGAACCAGTAGTGGCATTGTCATCATGCGAAACAGAATATATAGCTGCTTCTCTTTGTGCATGTCAGGCAACTTGGATGGTGAATTTGGTCGAAGAAATCACAGGGAAGAATCATGAAGCAATTACCATGAAGATAGACAGCTTGTCAGCTATCAACTTGGCGAAGAATTCAATAGCTCATGGTTAAAGCAAGCACATCGAAATGAGGTTCCATTATCTTTGAGAGCAGGTAGCAGAAGGGAAGATGAAGTTGGAACACTGCAGAATTGAGAATCAGATTGCAGATATCATGACGAAGGGAGTGCATGTCGAAGCCTTCAGAAGACTAAGAGCCATGATGAATGTAGACAGTTTAGACACAATGAATTAGGTGGTGTGTTAAATGTAATTCATAGTGTGTAGAAACAGATTTGTTTTGATGAGATTTGATATGATTTTGAATATTTTGGGCATTTTATGTTTTGAGCTTTTGTAAACCTAAAACTATAAATAGGTGTCTTGCTTTGTAATCAAAAATAGAACCGATTTCACAGTTGCAGAGTTTAGTAAGTGAAAGTTCAATAGTAATCAGAAATCCCACAGTTTGTGGGTAACGCAATTTTCTCCAAATATTTCTTCTCTCATTCTTCTCTTTCTTGCTGTTTGTTTGTTTGTTTGTTATTCTTCTTCTCTTTTACTGTTCTTGATAACTCTTTACTTGTTATCACCATTACTATCATATTGTGGGTTTGTTCATCAATCTTGAAATCAAGATTGAGGGAAATTCTGCATAAGATGTGAGGTAAATTTCCAACATAGAGTATCAACAATAAAAATAAAATCATAACATAAGATGAAATAAAATAAAATAAAAATTAACAATCTAATTGCTTTGTTCTACAAAACCTTTGAGAGAATGAAGCTTACATACATTTTGCTCATCAGTTAGCGTAAAAACTTAAAGTTCAAGTGACCCTTTTGGCCATAAAGTAAGATCAAACATTTTCTTAACACATACTTACAACTTAATTTACAAACTAACAAAGAGCATGATGAGCAAAAAGCTTCAAACTCAAATTCAAAAACCAAAAGCTTCCCATTATTTGAAAGCACGAAAACAATATAGAAGTTTTCATTAAAGTCCATCTATAAATATCAACCACCCATTTTGTTGATCTAGCGTATGTTTGTTTCCGCAGTGAATTTTGACAGAATCAAAATCTGTCAAAATTTACCGCACCACCTTACTAATTATTTATGCTGCAATTCGACGATGTGTGAGACGCTGATGCGGAGATTGAACACTAGAAGAAACAATAACATGTGTTGTAGAAGAAGAGGAGGAAGAAACATGGTTAGAAGAAGATGAAGTTGTTTGAATTTGAAACCGACCCGAATCCCCGGTTGGAAGTCTCATGTATGAATATGAAGGTGATTCGGAAATCCATGATCCTATAGCATCTTCTTTTCCACTCTTGTATTGCATAATTGTCTTGTAAACCAAAGGAATAAGACCCTCCATTTTTTTTTTATGAATAGAGAAAATGTGAAAGATAGTTTGAATGTGAGAGAAGAATGAGTAATTTGTTGGGTATAAAAACAAGTTGGTGGTGGGGTTAAGGGATGATGATGTTTTGGATTAGAGTCCATAACTTCACGCTAAGCCAGGAGATTTTCAATGCAAACTCATATGGTCACCATGATAGATAAGTTCCAACCAACATTTAAAATCTTAAATTAGAAAAAATTTGAAGAGTAATGTCATTTAAACCCACAAAGTTGACATCGTATAAAATAATATCTATTATTAGTATATTTTAGATTTCAATAAAAGAAAAATACTATTATTAAAATAAAATGATAATAAATAATAATATGTCTACTTTTTGTAAGAAAAATATTTTCTAATTTTAATTAGGCTTGGTTTGTCAAGACAGTTATTTTAAGGCTATGCCAGTTTATATGGTCTAGAGTCAAATAAAAAACTTATATGGTAAAAGATGACATGTTTAATAATAATAATTTTTTAATTTATAATTTAATTTATAAACTGTTTAATAATTTAATAGTTACATGAGTTATGTAGAAATAAAAGAAGTAGTTTTTATAAATATTGATTATATGAAATGTAAAAAATTAGTTTTTCATAGCACACAAAATTTCTGAATATATAGTTTTGCTGGTTTCGTTTGATGGGTTTGAGCTTTTAGATAAACATTGGAATGTCTTTGTTTACTTTTATTTATTTATTCTGTCTTAATCAATTTAGTGACACAGATTTTTTCATAGTTTGGTTTCCAATTTTTATTTTAATAATAATATCATCTAGAATCTGTTTGTTGGTTTAGTTTAGATGTTGTTTTTTTAAGTAAGGTGCTTAATATACTATTAATTGGATTGCCCATTCAATGTTGGCCACTTGTACCTGATTATGATGTTTGACATAAGAGCTTATATTAAATTAGTTATCATGTTTTCCACAAGAAAAATGGTGGAAGCATATTCCCATGGAATACATCCATTCACATTTAACATATGAGGGGGATATGAATTTAATTTTGTAACTTTGATGAAAAAGTTAAAAGATTAGTAGATGACTAAAGAGTTCAAGATTAGGTCTACCAAGATTAGATTAACTATGTGCCGACCCAGGAGTTTTTCAGAATTTTTTATATTTTATTTTTGAAGAAAAGAGGCTTTTATTATAAAGACCGATATTCTTTTTGGTATGATTACCAATTTAAGAAAAGTAGAAAAAATATTTTTGTTTGGTACAATTATTGCATGATGTGTATTAGAATAATTTTAAGTTCAACGTTAAAATAAACTCTCATAAATGAGTTTATATAAAGTTATATTATTCATTTTAGAAGTCGATTTTACAAATATGAATTAGATTAAACCCTAATATAATATAAAAATTAATCGATTGTATGATAGACTGTTCATTGTTTATATTCATGCGTCAAAGAAAAGAAAGTGTTGGATATGAAAGAGTGGACAATGTCGGATTTTAGATTTTATAAAACTTAATCGATTGGCAAAATATTTATAAAAATTAAGAAAATCCAACATCGGTTTTATAAGGATGAACTTAAGCACATTGTTGGACTCAGTGTTGGACCCAATGTTTTTCGCGTGAGCGAGAAGTATTGGTTTGGTTCAATTATTCTCTTTAGATGAGGTAAGAAGAGACTCCCACTCATCATTTCCCATGTGCTTAAGGCTCGTGACGCACTATACACATCATATTTATTAAGTGTTTTGAATTGATTAAGAGGAAGAAGAGAAAGACTCAACGCAAAATCTAAGGGAGACTTAGTCCTAGATGTTATCATGCAATGTGGTCCTAAGGTTAGGATTAGAAGAAGATTTTATCCTAATGTTGTCATGCAAGATGGACTTAAAATTGAGGTTAGGGAAAAACTACCCTAATGTTGTCATGCTTAGGTTAATGATGCGTCCGCAAGTGCACGGAAATATCGAAGTATAATAAAAGATTGTCGAACCCACAGAGACCAATGTCAATCTACCGTTATCTATTATTACGGCGTAAAGCTAAGGCAAATGGGATTAGGAAAGTTGAATGCGAATGAAATTAAATGCAAAGGAAATAAAGATAATTGGTTTAAAGAAAAAGCGGTAAAGGGATATCGGTATGCAATGACTTAGTTATCGGGGATTTGACAGGTCACCGGTGCTTTCTACTCTTTGAAAACACTTTTAAGAAGAGAATAAAGGTTTAAAGACCTTTGTCTCACGATGGTTGTTAATGCTAGTCGCAACTCTAAGGCGGAACGTATGCTGTCGCTATCCCGTTCGGGGTTAAAATTACTTTTTGAAAACCATTAAGTTCTAATCCCTTTTAAAGCGTTGTCAATGTTATTAAAACGAATGCCTAGTTTTTACTATCTGGTCCTAGCCTCGGCTGTCGCTTGTTGGTTCGTACCTTTATGAATTTCCCACTGTCGTGGCGAAACTTCGGTAAATAATTTCTCGCTGTCGCGACGAAGGTTTATTTAGAAATTAAGATTAAAAACTACGGCCATAAAGGTTGTTTGTCAAAAGGGAAGGTACCGGTTACTATCGAATCCTGTCCTACTAATTCAGTTACATACCGATAAAACTAATTTAGCTAGACATGATAATTAATGCAAACATAAATAAACAATGGCAGCAAAATAATATAACATGCATACTGACAGAAATAAAATAATAATTCAATTAATAAAAACCTGTAAATCGTACTGATCTCGAATCCTTGAGTAGTCCTCCACTGTGTCGGCATGATTCTACTTTGGCGAGAATTAAAAGGTACAGGAACAAATAAAGCGATACAAATGAAATAAAAGGAAAAGAAATGGAAAATAATGCAGGAAAGTAAAATTGGCTTCAATGGGAATTTTGGCAGCACTTCGATACATCGAAGGTTCCCCTTAAACCTGTGAATCTAAGGCCTATTTATAGGAGATAATTCACTCTTCAACTTTCAGAGATCATGGGTGAGTTATGGAGGGAGTGGGAGTAACTTCCAGTAGTGGGCAGTGAGTGGAGAAAGTGTAGGAAGAAATTAAGTTGAGATTGATCGTGGCTTCTTCTGATTTGAACGTACTGATATTTTGCCTGCGTGACGGTCGTAATGGACCTGTGACGACCGTCATATCAGCAGAATCCGTATCTGCTGTTTTTCATCTGTTTTTCATCTCTTTTCCTTCCATTTCTTCTCCTTTTCTTTCTTTAGTCTAAATTCTCCCCAATCTGCTAAACGAAGTAAATTAATCATATAATAGAGCATAAATCAAGATAAATTAATAATAGTCACAAATAAATACATGTAAATCAAGCCAAATAAACGATATGATTTCGCGTTATCAAAAACCCCCACACTTAAACCATTGCTTGTCCTCAAGCAATCAACCAATATGGTAAAAAGAAATAAGCATAGTTCGAAACAAAAACATGATGAGACTCTAATCATACGTGGCTGCTAGGCTAATGTTAGATCGATAGGTACTAAATATCAATACCAAGGATACCGTAACGACACAATTTCAAAAAATCCCTACTTATGCAAACCAATCGGAATCATGGCATTATAACTCAACCTATATCTCATGCTCTCTTTCACCCCGTTTCATTATAGTGCAATCACTTTAAGCCCGTTATCCATACACATTCATGGCAAGTAAACCTGTTAGTGACTATGATCTCGATGCTATTTCATTTTTTTCTCTGCAAATATGCTTAAGCATCAATTGAACTTAAAGAGTTTGTACCGTTAGGCTAAGTGTTTGGGTGAGGAGCACCTAACTTAGAAGGAACATGTCTTTTTCTTCATAATTTATTTTCTTTCTTAATTTCTCATTTTACGTTAGAGATCATACACTTATTTGAATCGGTTTCTTACTTAGTGTGTTTAGGATGGTGCTGACTGCTTAAATAAATTACTTAGGGATTACTACAAGAACCTGGAGCTTTAAGGTTTCGGCATAATGGGTACTCAAATTGATTTTGCATATTTAGGGGGTTAAGGGTGTCAGGGCGGTATCAATTTTATCAAAACTTTCCCACGTTTTTCTAACATAGCCTGGACAGCCTATATACTTTCAGAGAACCATGACATGAATCGAAGCAAAAATTTGTTGGAGGTTAGAATTTTGAAATTTTGAAATTTTTGGGGAAATTGAATGACAAGCGAAAACCACGCATAAAGACTCGACAGCATATGCAAAGACTTTGACATAATGTTAAAAATAGATAAAAATTCCTAGAAGCATGAAATAAAATGTAAAACATGTAAAACAATAGAGTTCCTCCCCCACACTTAAACCAAACATTGTCCTTAATGTTTTAGTAAAAGGTGGAAAAGGAAAGATAGAACCTGTATGAATGCTACTGCTCTTGCTATCCTTGTCTTTGTTGATCACTTCTACTTCGGCGGCGGGCATTTTGAGATACCTTTGTTTGTGTAATTCTCGAACTAGCTCATCATGTTGCTCGCGTCAAGAGGAAGTACTCATCATCAGTGTTCCCACCAGCAGCGACACTCGTAGGAATGTCCGTGGGCATAGCTCATCTTCTCAGATCGTCATCTAGAGAGTTTTCGCTTAGATATAGCTAAAGAGTAACAAGCGATACATTTCTTTATTTTCTGCAAATTTAAACAAACAAATTAAAATAAAGACTTTATGGGTTGCCTCCCACACATCGCTTTGTTTAACGTCGATAGCTCGACAGCCAAGGAGTGCAATTACTCATGATGGCTCTTTCGAGAATGGTTCATCGCTCGAACTTTGAATGGTCTTCGGTTTCCATGGCCACTTATCAAGCCATTTCTCATATCCCTCACCTTTTCTTTTCTTTCTTCTATAGGGTGGTTCATTGTTTTGAACTTGTGGTGGTGGTTCTGGATCTATCCTAAGTATCAGTTTTTCAAATTTGGGCTTAACTATTTCATCCACCACCTTAAAATTTAATCTTACCCTTTTAACAGTAATGATGACCCTAGTTTCATGGTCCTTG